CCCCAAAACCCCAAAACCCCAACACCATATATAGTTCATTTTAGTCGGATTAGAGATTATATGAGTATTAATATCAATTTTATTCATCTAATATGTGTAGTAAATTCTAAAAATTATCAATGTCAATATGTAATTTTCACTTACCTATCCTTTGAAGTAAAATCTTTGCTGGAAGAATTTATGATCTTGTATTAGTTACTTTACAACGTCATTAAGTCGGATCTTTAATCTGCGCTTTATCTCTTCTTGATCATCTTTTGTTTTCTAAAGATTTGAATATAATGAGCTTTTAAAATTTACTTCAAGTTTAGAGGCAAGTTTAAATATGATAAGGATGTTATCAATCGCATTATACATTTTCTTCGCTCTAACCAGCATTTTTATAATATTATGAACACTTTGCTCCTCATACCTGAGATTCACTCTTTCATAGTAGTAGTCAAGACAAATGAGCCTCATTAAATATTTTAGAGTTAAGGATGACTTTGTGAAATGCTAGATTATGACTTTGTTGATTTCCTCATTTGACATGTCATCATACTTCTTTTTGTGTATTTTGCGAAGCACAGTTATATAATACTGTACTTCTGTCTCTGAGTAGATATCATCGTTTTGTTCCTTGAAAAATCCATTTTGCTTATAGTTATCATATAGTTTAGATTTACTCCAATCTTATTATTGGATCAGTGCATAGTTTCGTAATCCTTCCCAATACTATTACTCCTTCAGCTTCCTCTAAATCTGCTCAAGATTTCTTATTCTTTCAGCCAGAGTTGGGCATCTCTTTCCTAAAACAGTCTTACTAAATTTATCTCTCAGATCCTTAGGATGCAATCTTTGGCTATATTTTGGTAGATCTTAGATCGAGAACTTATAATTTAGCCCCTGAGCCATAAGTTCCTCACGGGATAGCGCTCTTTTTTAGGCAAAATCAGACATGTATTAAATCTAAGATTCATCAAAATAAGGAGTCTCTGTTTAACTATTCAAATAATCTTTCACAGTTTGCCTCATTTCATCATCTTTCTTTAGTTCTCTTATTGATTAAGAGGTTGCATTCCCTAAATTTTAAGGCCTCTTTTCTCTGAATAGACTTTTATTGAACATGTAAGAGTTATTAGAGATGTTTGAATAACTTGGTTTCTTACTTACAGATTATCGAAACCTCTTCTATTCAGTCTTCTTATTTTGATATTTGAATCGCGGACTTACTGATAATGATGTATCAGTATTGCTATAAAAACTATGGCAGCAACCTCCACTATGCCTATTTTTGATATCCTTACCATCAAAAGGTATGCCAGGTTAGTTATATTTGGACATTGAACCTGCCGATGAGAGCTTCTTAGATTTATTTTACTTCTTATAGCTAGATTTATATGATTTCCCAAGACTACTAGATTAACTTTTCAACACAAGATCCTTAGAAAAAATATTGTAATTAAAAGCGCTCTTTTTTTATACATCCAGCTACAAGCTTCTTTTCATTTATTTACTAACTTTTTTCTCATTCACTCTTGGTGAAACACGAATGGTTTGGGCTTGATGCTGTGATTAATTATGAATACTTATTCTCTTTTTAGAATATCCTGTTTTAGCTTATCTAAGATATTCATAGCTCGTTTATACTTAAACCATTTGAGATTTATCTGTCTCATGTCTATCAAATGATTGATCTTGCAATTCTCTTGAATCATTGTTTAATAGTCTTATTGGAGAAAAGAAATTTGTTGTCGGTCGATAAGCTTTATTCATTTGCATCATAGAATCAATAGCTCATTAATTTATCTTCTATTGCTATTTCCGCTTAATAACTCTTTTCTTTTTTATACGAAAGCCGTTATTCGCATTGTTTTGAATTTAGAGATTAGCTGCATTTTACAATATAGGTTAATCATGAGTAATTGAATTTTCTTTTATCTTAATCTAATGATTTGTTATATCTATTTATTCTAATGAGGAAGAATCCACGTTTACTTGCTGATATCTATTATTAATCTGCTACTATCCCCCTCTCGATGATTAATCAGATATTATTATGTCTTAATCTCTTTATTAATGATTTCTTCTATATAATCTTAGCATAGATCCTCGACTATAATTAGCTTTCTCAGCTGATTATGAAATATTCTTGAAATTTTAGTCGGATCAATCATAATTTTGAAGTTTTGAGTTATTCTATGACCAATTTATATTCGTATTTGGTTTTCTCTCATAATTTTAAAGTTAGCTTTAGAGATTTTATTTATCAAACTTATTAGTCATCATAGACATGTTTAAGAGCTACTAATTATTCTTTTAGGTCTTATAAGATTAATCAGTAAAATGTTTGAAGTCATGTTTAATACTTGTGCTTTACAATGAATTGCTTTAGGTCTTTTTATGCAAAGTATCATTTTGAGCGTTGGGTTATGAATCATGAGTAGCCGTAGTTCTAGCATTGTCAAATTAAGACTAATTTTAGCTTTAAAGTAAAGTCTATAAAAGCTGATTATCAAGTGCATCAAGCTTCTTCGTTATTGCAGGGTTTAAAACAAAGCTAGCATACTTTTAGTCTTACTGCTTATACCCCAGAGATTTCATATTTATCGGAATAGATTGTTAAAGCTATTTTCTTTTTGTAGAAATTATTATAGGCGTATGTGGATTTTAATTTTGTTATCTACTTGCTGCTGTTTACTGTAAGATAGGCTAATTGATATTTTTATTGGGTTTCTGAAGTCTATTATAGAGTAATTTTAACACTTAGTCCTATTTTACCTCTACATTTGGATTGAAGATGAGTCCGTTAGGCAACTAAAACTGTTATAATCTTTGTTAAGATAATCTCAGAGACTATTTGACATTAGTGCCTGTAACAGTTTGAGGTATAAACTTTTACATAGAGCTATAACTTGCTGAAACATCCTTAAATTTCTTATTTATACTCTAATTATATTACATTGATCGGTCAACTCTGGAATCTTTCGTAGAAAATTCAAAGTTGTTTGTCGCTTATGTCATTGGAGAAGCTTAAACTTTTCTTTCAGAGCCAAAAGTTTGGTTTTTCTACTAACTTAATTAATCCCTTTATCTATTTCTCATGTTTGATTATCTGATTTGGAAAATTTGATTTTGATTTTCAGAGTTTTGAGTTAATCTTGGAGATAAGTCTGATTCAGGATTAGATCTATCTCTCATGATATACAATCGGCTATTTTGCAAATTCGATATGTCTCATGGACTCTGCTAAATGTTTCTGTTAATTGCTGCTGTTGTAGTGTCTTCCTATCTTAAATTTGATTAAGCCATTAAATAATTTTATTCAATTAAACCATCAATTTTCACGCATTCACCTAAATGGGGTTTTGGGGTTTTGGGGTTTTGGGG